AGCTTTAGCCTTCTTAAGTCTTCATTTGACTTTTAACTTTGATTTTAGGGTTGACTTTACTTTTTTGACTTCTTTATTGCTTTTTGCATGTTGGTTAGCCTTCTAACTTCATTTGGGACTTATAGTTAGAGCCGGCAATGCGGGCTCGGCTCAGCGGGCCAACCCGCCAAACGGGGTGGGGCGGACTGAGTTTTTCAACCCATCTCAAAAGCGGAGCAGGGCGGGGCAGACTCATTTTTTGGCGGGTTGATGGAGGGCATAGGCGGGTCAGTGTAAAATAGGCTCAGGCTGGCGGGCCAACCCGTCCAACCCGCCAAACGGGGCGGGACGGGCTGAGTTTTTCAGCCCACTTTCAAAAGCGGGGCGGGGCGGGCTGACTCGTTTTTTGGCGGGTTGATGGCGGGGTGGGGTGGGGCGGGGCAGGGCGGAGCGGGCCGCCCACTTTGCCACCTCTACTTATAGTACTGGTATCTTTATTGTGCTTACATGTTAAGCTTAATTGCTTGTATTTTGTTATCATCAAAACTTAAAATCTTTTACACTTCAAGCCTTTAGGATTCAACAACCTTAATTAATAATAGATGATAGATCCACATGCTAGCTTTAGATAAGGGATGAAGCAATTTCAATTGACGATTACTAGTGAGTTATATAGTTTTGCGCTTTGCGCTCAAGTTTCTACTCAAAAACAAGTGAGAAATTTTTGGAATTTGCTCTTTTACCAGAAATATCCCTGATTTGAAAAGGAATAGAGTACCCACACAAATCTCCTTCCCCGCTTTGACAATAACTTGAGAGTTCTATCAATCCTACACCTGATTTATATGAGGAGACACAAAACTTCCACTCCAGTCTTGAGTCGTCAAGATTAGATTTAAAAAGGAATAGAGTATCCACACAAATCTCCTTCCCCTCTTTGACAATAACTTGAAAGTTCTATCAATCCTATACCTAATTTATATGAGGAAACACAAAACCAGACAAGGGATATTTTGTGTGCTTATGCTACAAAAGGTATACTCTTTTTTATGTTAATGAGTAATGATAATTCGTTAATATTCCAAACTGCGATGAACCTAAATGCTTCCGCCAATTTAATTATTCCAACATTTAAACTTAAAATTAAATTAATAAATAAAAAGAATAGATATTTAATTTAATAAAATATTGAATTATCTTATATTTGAGTTTTTAAATAATTAAAATAAATAAAAAATATATCCCAACTACACTTATTAACAAAATTCATATAATAACACATATTATTCACGATCTTGAATTACAAAATGTAGTCAATAATCCAGGCGCTTTTGGGAAATATTCTCTTCGAAGATATTCAACCCGGCAACTTCTGCGAAAGTAATCATTTCTGGGCCCCGCAGCTCACATTATATACATATATATATATATATATATATATATATATATATATATATATATATATATATAAAGAAAAAAAATTAATTGATAAGACATTATTACCGTAATAAGCCTATAAATTTCTCTCTGTCTCTAGATAGATTTATAAAAAAAATAAATTATTATGAGGTACGTAATATTTATAATTTTTTACAATTATTTTTATAATATAAATAACATAAAATGAGAACTATTAATTCAATTTTTATATGACAGCAACAAAATAATTATATGAAATTATAAGAAAAAATTATAAATATGATTTAACTCTTTTTCTTATAATTTATTTTTTCATCGTTGATTTTGGTCTGGTCATATTTATTAATTTTTAATAAATTATAATCATTGAATTGACGGAAATCAACGGTGAAAAATATGTTGTAAGTAATTGTAAAATTTTTAGGTTATAAGAATAACACTCCTCAAATTTGTATATGAACTTTTTTCAAAAAGGATTATTTTGTATTTGAATACAAATTTTAAAAATATTTAAAATAAAAATTTTGTATTTTTTTTACTTACTTTGCAAACTAAAAATTATTAACTTCTAAACGTTATTATATGTGTTTAATAATTCTCAGTTTGTAAAATAAGTAAAAAAGGTACTAATTTTTAAATAAATAAATTGAAAGTAATGGGCTACTTATAATTTTTTTCCTTTTTAAATTTAACCTAAACACGCTTAAAAATATTGTAAAAACACATTATTATTAACACAAAGGCCAGCAGAGTGCGAATCACATTTTTTGCACTGCCCTATACTTATTTTGCAGTACATTAACATGACCAACTCGCAAAAGGACGAACTAGACATGTGCATTCAAAAACTACAAAATGTGCCTCGTCTTGTAGTACCGACTTAGACAAACAACACATGTGCATCCAAAAGTTCAATACACACACAACCGTGTGCATACAGTAAGAAAAGATAAGAGGTATCACATTTTTAATGTCCGTAAATTGTCCTTGTTACAACTTCAAACCCTGCAACAATAGTGCAACCAATCATGGTGGGAACTGGGAAGGGGGAATAAAAAATGCTAACCACTCGCTTGTTAAAATATCTGGCAACACATTAGGTTGCTAGATGAAGATTACCAAGTATAACAATTGGGAATTTAGTCTCTTTAACTTTAATGGTACGCATATTTAATTCTTGCTGGGGGAAATAAATAAATAAATCTAGCTTAAAAATAGGTATGCCTATGTACTACTGGAATAATATGGTACTACCAAAATTTGTTGATGAAAGAAAATTTTTGTCATGCAATTTTTTTTAGAAGTAGCTAACGTAAAAGAAAATTGATCTTTTCATGTGAAATTCATTTATAATAAAATTATATCAATAAAAAATAAATATTAAAATATTAAAAAGGTGAAATTTTATGAAAATTTGTGAACTTATTTAGTGTTTTTTGTGTTTATATCTATTTAAGTAATATAAAAATCTACATACTACGGTGATGGTGATGACAGGTTTTTTTTTTCACCAGACAGTAATTTGACTATTTTTGTTTTGGTTTATTACAGTTTGTTCCCTGTAGTTTCATTTATTTATTTATTTATTATTATTATTATCCTCTTCTTCTTCATTTTATTAATATATTTAGATTTTCTTTATTCTGAATTTTTTTCTTTTTTTTTTTAAATACTTACCTGACTTAAAAAAATAATAATAAATATCACAAAGTCGAAATTGACCGTTGTTTCAAGTCAACATACATCGACTTTTTAGCAAGATCTGTGGTTTACAAGGCATGAAGAATGCTTCTCCAATTAAGTCATTAGATTTATTCTAATGATAAGAAATTTTGGCAGATTATATTAAATTGTAGGGATATATTTTTCTTACGATTGTAAGAAAAAAATTACTTCATGTTGTAGAAATAAAAGTATAAATGGGATCCACAGATATAAAGAGAGAGAAAAAAGAGTGGTGGAACTCAACCTTTTTTGTGTGTGTAAGAGAATTATTTATCTCACGTAAAATGAGATAAACATAACCTTAATTTATTATATGTTGAATTTTTACTTATATATGTATAAAAAAATGATGCTCCAACTTTCTTACGGAATATTGTAAACAATGCCGCGTCTGCCAAATTCAGATTTGAAAAAAGATTTAAAATCCTTTGCATATTAACTCGTCACATGTGAGCCCGTGCCCTGACCTGGCGTCAAAACAAAACCACCATGGCCACACCACACACAGTTGGAAGAACAAAACGAATCCATGTGGGAGACAAACACGCACTGATCAAATCCTCAGCTCATTGTATTGGAGGACCCCACCACCGACACCCATTTGTAATTTTGTATATGAAAAAAAAGGTTGCTCTCAATAAGTGCATTTTAAGAAGAATTTAATATTTTTATTTTAATCAAGAAAATTTCATAATTATTTAAGCAAAATTATTGATTGATTTTTATATTTATCAAAATAAAAAGTTGTTAACCTCGTTATTTTTATGTAAAAGTTAGCAAATAACTTCTTCTTTTGTATAAAAAACAAGGGAAGAATTATATTTATAACTATTACAACATCAACTGTGTATTTCGATAAGTTACTCTCAAGTATATGTACCCCCTGATATTATAAGAATTATAAAAAAAAAGTTATAAATTAATCTGACCCAAAAAATAAATAATATTTTTAATCAAATAACTTAATCCTAAGAATACTTTAATAATTTATGATTATTAAACACATTAAATTAAATAAAATCATTATAAATAAAAATTATTTTATTATAGATAAACCGCTCTATTTGTTAGAAATAGATTTATTTATTAAACATATCGTGTTTATGTTTTATTGTTTATATTCTTATTTAGTGAATGAATTCATATATGAATATTTTTATTACATTATGATATATTTTAATAATTAATATAATTAACATAAGAGTTATATTTTCTCTCTTTATTAAAATTAAATTATTATTATTTATTTTATTAATGTTAACATTCAGTATTAAAAAAATATTTTTTAAATAAATAAATCTAAAAACACATTCATATTAAAATAAATAATTCAAACACTCGTTGAATTATTAAGAAAATAAAATCTTTTATTCAAAATAAAATGTGAAAGTTATTAACTTCAGCAAACAATTTCCTTTAAAAAATTATATATATTTTTTCTTGGAAAAAATGTCTGTCCTTTTAAATGACACAACTTGTGTCATTTCATTCTCACAAGAAAGTGAGACTCACATCTTTATTTTTTTTTTGTTTCTATCTCTTTCTCTCACTTACAATTATAAATTTTACCTCTTTTAAAATGACACATATTTTTTTAATATTTTTTTCCCAATAAATTTTAATTCTTCAAGTTCGTAAAAGAGACACGATTCTCGTTTCCTTCCAAATTCACTTCAACTTTCCCTCTCTTTCATTTTACCCTTCTCGGCTATATTGACCCCTTCCTACTCTGTACCGCACTTAAATTTGTGTGCCCCCTTCCTTACCCATTTCTTACCTCTTCCTCTTTCCTTTTTATGTTTCTCTCTCTTTTCACTTCATTCACCACACAACCCATAGACTAAGCATTATTAGGTACACCACAGCATAGAGTGTGTCTCTAAATTTTGATTACGAGCGAGCGAAAATGGCGCTCAACTTAGCCTCTATGCTGTTATTCGTTATTATTTCACTCTTTGCCATCACTCTTGCTGAAGATCCCTACAGGTTCTTCAACTGGAACATTACATATGGAGACATTTATCCCCTCGGTGTTCGCCAACAAGTATGTTTGTCTCAATCTTGTTAGGTTTTTCAGTTTCATTTTTGCCAGATCTCAATCATATATAAAAGCAAACTTAATTTTCTTTGTTTTGTAACACAGGGAATACTTATCAATGGTCAATTCCCAGGTCCAGACATTCATTCTGTTACCAACGACAACCTTATTATCAATGTTTTCAATAGCTTGGACGAGCCCTTTCTCCTATCCTGGTACTCTCTATTTCTTCACCTGTCTTTGTTTTATCCTTAATTTTTATGCATAACATAAGAAGAACGAATTTATGTCAGTAGATTTTTTTTATAATGATTATGCATAATTAAACTTTTCGTTTCTCTGAAGAATGCTTGATAAACTTGATATGATGTTTGCGGTGGTTACACGATTACTAGTACATTTTGGATGTTTGTTGAGTCACATTACTTGTAACTAGAAAGTACTACTTATGAACTATCCTTATCCCTTGTTCGGGGCACGGGTCAATCCGCCAATTGCGGGACATGGATCCAGATCTGGCTCATTGGTCTTATATTATAATATAATGGGAAATATGAGAATTATGTCGGAAAATTTGATCATGGTAGAGATTATAACTATATGTTATGAGTAATATATTAATATTAAAGTTATTTTTTCTCTTTTCGCCACGTGAGCTAGAGGTAGCAAAGTGTACTGGCTCCTCTGTCTTTGAAGGTGAGCTAAAAAACTCAGTCGGCCAAGCCCGTGACATTTTACACTAAAAATTAAAAAAAAAAAAAATTCAACCCGAGCAGGCTGGTGGGCTTGACGGACAACAAGTTTGAAAAACTCAGCCTGGCAGGCCGAGCTCGTTTTGCCACTTCTAACATCAGCTGACAGTCTCACGTGAAAAGAGAAAAAATAAAATAATTTTTAATATGATAATTATATACTATCCGTTATATATAGTTTATTTTTTTTTCAGCACCAAATTTTTTTCCGGAACATGACAGATTTGAAATCCCTAATATAAATTATAAAAAAAAATAAAATCTATACTGTATTTTCAAATTCATTTGATAAAAGTATGATTTTTTTTTTTAACTTTATTCACGCCGAAAGGGCAAAGAAGAACTTTCGTGATGAATTTAGTATTTATATTAAGATTAGAGGTGGTGTATATGGGGATGGAAACCATTATCAAAAGTCATTATTCCGAATAAATAATTGGCCAGAAGTGCAATTTGGCTTTCTTTCTTTCTTTTTTTTTGGTGAAAAGCAATTTGGCTTTCTACCCGGGGGAAGTCACAAAGTAAATAATATTGGATTGCTCATTTGCTTGTGGAAAATAAAAAGAAAAATGTGCAAGAAGAGGAAATCATTTTATGATTGTCGGTTTGAATTTCTGTTATTGCTTAGCCGCAACAATAATTTATATTAATTGGGGCCCATTTACTTTATTTATGCTTGGCTGGCAGTTCTCCGCTGGAGATCGGGATGTGAATATCACCTTGATTTAGTGAATATAACGACCTGTACTTTTAATTACAATAATAAGACATCGAACTTTACCAGCTACCATTCATTGAGAACTGTGAAGCCTTAAACTTCGCTTGCAAAATTATTAGGCTACGTCTGAAATGGAATGAGAAGTACTTTGACTTCTTCGTACTTACAAGAATTTTAGGACTATATTAATGTGGAGGTGCACCATAAAATTATTCGAAGAGAGGGTTGAGTGAACTTTTGGATTTGGAGCTGGCCCAATACTCAATAGATCTTGACTTTTACTAAACGTCATGTTTTATCATGATTGTTTTACAACAAATAAAAAAAAAAATTTCCTTTTTCCAAAACAAAAATTTAACTTTTTTTTTTACTTATTTTTTAATAAAAAATAAACTAATATTTACGTATAGTCTGATTCTGAAGGGTAAGTGAATGCCATGGTACATGGCTAGCATGCTAGTGCTAGAAGAATGAATTTGACTACTTGGGGATAAATGACATCTGTCGCTTTTCGATTTTATTTTCCTCAAACTACTTTAGCGGAAAAGAGAAAATGTTTCGGTGCAATATCTTATACTCAAAGCAATAGTAAATAGAAAAGTTTAAGGTTTAACCAAGGAAAAGGAGATTCGTTCTCTAGCTGAATTACATCTTGAAAGCAAATATTAAAATCCCATTTTGGTTTTTAATTACGCAAAACACAGGAACGGGATCCAGCAGAGAAGGAACTCGTATGAGGATGGGGTTTTCGGGACAACATGCCCCATCCCACCGGGGCAGAACTTCACTTACATACTTCAAGTGAAAGATCAAATTGGGAGCTTCTACTACTTCCCATCTCTTGCATTCCATAAAGCCGCTGGTGGTTTTGGTGGCATTAGGATCCTCAGCAGACCAAGAATTCCTGTCCCCTTCGATGATCCCGCCGGTGATTACACTGTCCTAATTGGAGATTGGTACAAATCCAACCACACGGTAATTGTTTATTTTCCCTTATTAATAATACTATTACTCTCTCTCTTTTTTCTTCTTCTTTTTCTACTATTCTCCTCGTTTTATGTGTGCCGTGGTGATCAACTAACATTTGACTTCCTACGTAACATTACACATTACTACACTTCTCTATCTTGGGACAGCTGGGTCTAGGTCGCATGTCGGCCATGTGGCTCAAGGAGAAAGGAGATCTCGATCATAAACGAGCTTTTTTTTTCAAAAAAACTTTTCAGACCATGATTTTCTACAAAAGCGGTGTACAATGTTCAAACTTGTTTTGCGGTTGCATTTATTGGTAATTAAGAACACATGAAACCTTTTAGAAATAAAAGAAAAACATTAAATATAATAAAGTATTTATTATATTGTTTGCCAAAAAAGTACTTATTATATTCAATATAAAAATAAGTAATAATTATTTTTAAATAGTGACAAATTTTAATATTAATAAGCATAATATATATTATACATATATTTTTTAATTTGGATAAAATATAAAAATATTTCAAATTATATAATAGATATCTATAAGTAATTTCATTAGAATTTAAAAAAAAATATTAAAAGGAAAATGTTTAAAATTATAAAAAAGATTTGTATAGTTAATCTAAAAAAAATAGTTTAAAATTTAAAAGGAGAAAAATAATTTAAAATAAGATATTAAAGTAAGAGAATGTATTTTAATTTAATATATAGAATGGATGAGATGCGGCAATGTCTTGAATGTACTCTCTGGCCTCTGCCACTATTTCTAATCCAATTTATTTTTATTTTTTTTATGAAACTTTAATTATCATATTCGATAGTTTATAGCTAATTTATTTGTATTACGTTACAGGATTTGAAGGCCCAACTTGATAGCGGTAAGAAGCTGCCTTTCCCTGATGGAATCCTCATTAATGGTCGTGGGCCTAACGGAGCTTCTCTCAATGTGGAACAAGGTATGCGCCCCATCAAATATGCAAGTCATCTATAATCCAACCTTCTCTTGTTATTTCTCTTTGTCCTTCTTAAAGAAAGTGCTAGTAGCTCGAGGCAACTTAGTTCTAGAAATCTGGATAAGTTCCTGCTTGGTTGAATCCCATTTTGCATGTGACTTTCACCCAAATAAGATTTTAACAAATGTGTCTATTTAGCATTGCTCAGTTCATATTTACGTGAGCTCTGTTTTCTTATTCTTGATTGTGATCATCATTGTTTTCTCTGTTTGAGGAGAAAAAAAAAAGTTGGGTGACGCGAATAATCTTTTTTAACCTTTACACCACAGGAAAGACTTACAGGCTTAGAATATCAAATGTGGGGTTGGAACATTCTCTTAACTTTCTCATACAGAACCACAATTTAAAGGTGGTAGAAGTGGAAGGAACACACACCCTTCAAACTACTTACTCCTCCCTTGACGTTCACGTGGGCCAATCTTACTCGGTTCTAGTAACCGCGGATCAACCTGCTCAGGACTATTACATTGTGGTTTCCACTCGATTTACGTCCCCAGTGCTCACCACCCCTGGAATTCTTCGCTATAGCAACTCTGCAGGCCCAGTATCAGGCCCACCCCCTGGTGGACCTACCATCCAAATTGATTGGTCCTTGAACCAGGCCCGCTCCATCAGGTATTATATTTATATGATTTTAATAAGACCATCTAAAACTTATTTTTAAACAAGGTTCTTTCTTTATACCAAAAAAAAGAAAAAAAGAAGATAGAAGGTTCGTTCTCACCGACTAGTTCTTTCCTTACGTATTAAGTTGTCCTATTCCACAAATTATTCATTTTTATTTAGAGATCTTTTGATAGCATACATTACTTGCTAATCTAAGATCATGTTAGAATTTTTTTTCATTAACTATATAGTCTAATACCTTGAAATGTATTATGTATGTAATTTTTTTTTTCATTAACTATATAGTCTCTTACGTAAATTTTACATGACTAATATTATGTATGTAAAGAGAAAAATATACATAAAGATACTAAATAAGGTCTCAAGGGCTTTGCCAAAATTTGTGAGACCCAACTTAGTTTCTTTATGTTTATCTCTGGAACACCGATTAAAATGCCACTCTTCACCAACTCTTTTACTTAAATGCCACGCGAACAGTGTTATTTTTCAATCTGCTACGGGGGCAAGTTCGCTACCCGGTGTAGCGAACTCGGTTTGCTGATGTTTCACATTTCTAGTGGATAATAAGTACCAATTAAGAAAAAAAAAAAAGGTGTGGAGTTCGCTACCTCGTGTAGCGAACTTGTTGTCCACTAGAAACGTGACACGTCAGCAAACCGAGTTCGCTACATCGGGTAGCGAACTTGCCCCCGTGGCAGATTGGGAAATAACACTGTTCGTGACATTTAGGTAAAAAAGTTGGTGAACAGTGACATTTTGGTGACTGTTCCTTTATCTCTTAGCTTGACCATGTGAAAAACTCCCGTGAAGACATCTATTCCCATCTATTCTCTTAATGTGGTTGTTTCTCGTTTGAAATTTTAAAACCTTGGTTTTAGGCAACAGTTACATACAAGAAAGAAAGCTTTTGCCCAAACCATATTGAAGCTTTTCAAACAAAAAAGCAAACACACTAGTTGAACTACTAGGAAGTAGGAACATGAAGAGAAACTGAGGATAACTATATATTGTGACTTTAATGTTGCACAATTTCAGGACTAACCTGACAGCAAGTGGACCGAGGCCAAACCCGCAAGGCTCCTACCATTACGGTCTTATAAACACAACCAGGACCATCGTATTGTCGAGTTCAGCTGGTCAAGTGAATGGCAAGCAAAGATATGCAATTAACAGCGTGTCTTATGTTGCCCCAGACACTCCTCTTAAGCTCGCTGACTACTTCAAAATCTCGGGCGTTTTTCGTGTGGGAAGCATATCGGACAGACCCACTGGCGGTGGCGTTTACGTTGACACATCTGTAATGCAAACTGACTATAGAACATTTGTGGAGATTGTCTTCCAAAATGATGAGGACATCCTTCAGAGCTATCATCTTGATGGCTACTCTTTCTTCGTGGTTGGGTGAGCATATATCATTTTGAATGCCTAGCATACATATAACATTTGGTTGAGTCATCAATCATCAATCATCAATCATCATATATGGTTGGTGTTTGGCTTTGAGAAATTGGTCAACTATTTGTTGGCTTCCCCTTTTTTTTGCATTTTTCTCAATATGGTTGGGTGTTTTTTCTCTTCATTTTTATTAAAGATGTGAAGTATTTCATTTTATATGTAGTATGGATGGAGGACAGTGGACATCTGCTAGCAGGAATGGGTACAATCTTCGAGATGCGGTTGCGCGTTGCACCACTCAGGTGAGAATAAGCTATAATCATTTTCATTGTCTCGTGGCCTAACTAGTGTATTATTATGTTGCTCGCAAGATTAGATTTTAGAACTGATTCAAATCTTTGATAATCTTGATTCCTTTAGGTATATCCCAAGTCATGGACTGCTATATATGTGTCACTTGACAATGTGGGAATGTGGAACTTGAGGTCTGAATTTTGGGCACGGCAATATCTTGGCCAACAGTTTTATATGCGCGTTTATACAACATCAACCTCAATCAGAGATGAATATCCTATTCCAAAGAATGCACTTCTTTGTGGTAAGGCAAGTGGGAGACACACACGCCCTCTCTAAGCTAGCAAACGCCTGAAGGATCCCACGCTTGGGCAGGGAAGGCATTCTAGCCTTGGAATATGAAAAGAAGTCAATTCTTTACCTTCTGATTTTGATTTTATTGTTCGGTGATTTTGGTAATTTATGATGGACATGTATGATTTCCACTATGAATGACCCCAGCTCGAGGTCACATTCTTTCCCAAGAAAAAGAAAAAGAAAAAGAAAAAGAAAACAATATTCTATTCCCTTTGTAATTTCCCAAATTTTACTATTATTACAGAGTAAGGTTATAAGGAAGTTGGCATTTGTCGATTGGCAGATCAGGGTGTCTCTTGCATTTAGCATTGGTTGTCTCTTCTATGATGTCTAGTAGAATATCTGTACTAAAATAAAAAGAAATAGTAGAATATGATGCTCAATAAATTTTAGTTGTAAAAATGCATAACTTTGATTTTCATTGGTTTAAGAGGAGTTGGGTCTAATCACACAAAATTGAGTTTGGTCCAAGTGGTAGTTGAAGGATGAATGCGACGGGTCCAGGGGTGTTGGAGAAGCCTATTTGTATGGGACAAATATGTGTGTGTGGCACCGTCGAGGAGGGGGGCTACAAGGTACTTCACCACTTAAGTCAGTATATGTATAATGAGATTAAGTAAATTGGAGAAGATAATAATACTTGGGCTATGAACCTCTCTTTTATAATAGCTGCATTACCTTCTTATTCTGCCTTTAGTACGGTGACATTCATTCTTATTGTTGAATTGTGGTGGTTTTGTCAGCCTAATCCATCCAACGGATGTTTTTAGTGAGCTATGATACGTAGGCTTAGCTAGAATCTCGTGAATATTCTTTATTTATTGGCTTTTAAGAAGGCTCATGAGTCATGAGTTATTGTCATTCCAATTTTGTATTCTCGGGATTATGTGTAGGTGTGGTGTACACACTTCCTTACTGACTAAAACTTTGACTTTTTGCCTTTTTGGTTGTTATTGGAATGGACTCTTTATCCTGTTTAGTATGGATTCAAATCAGTTGCCCATTTAGTTCGTTGCTTATACTTTATCATGAGTAAGGGGATGTATAGATGTTTCGGGATTATATATTTGAAGGACTGTTTCACGTGTGTGGATGTCGTAAAAAATAAAAAATTAGTGGATTACCTTCTATTTTAGTTGGTAACCGTCACCTCTCCACATAGAAATGGTTGATTAGACTTTGTTCGTCAGATTAATGATTACTGCTATTAACATGTCTTAATCATACGTTTTCAATATATGACACATTTATAGTGCTTTTAGGATTTCACTTTTACCATTTCACATTTCCTTATGCTTTTACCTTTTTGCCCCCATTGACTTTTTCATACATTTTGAGAAAAGGGAATTTTATCATTTCATTTGAATTTTCTCTTCGTCTTCTCACATCCACTTTTATCTCCTAATATTTCTTTAGAAGAAATCTTCCAAAAGTTTCCACTTTTTTCCAAAGAAATCTTTTTTTTCTTGGTTGTATCTTGTTTGTGATGCTTCAGAGTTCGTATAAAAGGTTTCAGAGTCAAAGTATTTTCATAAGTTCAAGTATTTACATTTCCTTCCTCTTTGTCTTTTTGGTTCTTCTTTACATTTATGGGTTCATATTGGTTACTGAAGTTTCTCATTTTTTGTTTTGTTATTTGAGTTTACGTTTTTGGGTTTCATACTAGTCTTTTGAGTTTCTAGGTAGTACTTCTTTGTTTATTTTCCTCCACTTTCTTGAAATCATTTCTCCACTTTGATAAAATGTCTCAGAGTAATTTCTCATCTTATTTAAGAATGGTAGAGAGTAGTGATTCTGTAAATTTTGGAATCATTCGTGCTGGATCCATGAGTATTGAGAAATGGAGGTTGTTTGGTGATAAACCTTTGGTTTGTCATGTTTTAGGGCTAAATAGTACATGAATTACACAGTCAAATGCATTAGGTTTTATTGTGAAAAAGCATTAAAGTTGAATTTTGAGCAAACATAAATTGTTCTTGCGTATTTTGAAGGTTAATTAATATAAAATTGGGCAAAAATGAAGTAAAGGACTTAGAGGAGAAGGTTGAAGATCAAAAGAAGTCCACAAAGTGCATTCCAAAAGCATTATTGAAGACTGAAGAAACGCGCTTTAGTGCCCTACAGCGCACTAAAGTGCGCTAATGAAGCGAAGAAAGCCAAATGCTCGGAAGAGCGCGTTTTATCGCCCTAAAGCACGCAAGTTGCCCAAAAACAATGAAATTCCCTAGATGAGCGCGCTACAGCGCGCTAACACATGATGTCATGAAGAAATTTCCTTTAGAAGAGCGTGCTAAAGCACGCTACAGAGCACTTTAGCGAGCTCTGGCAGATATACAAGGCGTCATCAACATGCTAAAATATGTTAATCAGCGCTTTAGTGCGCTGACTCGGTCCAAATTAAGGCTCAATTCGTGAATCCATTTAGGGCACAGACCAATCGCCTATAAAAGGAGATTTTCAACACCAATTAAGAATCTTTTGAGAAATGAGAATAGAGAATCATACTTTAGTCATAGAAGTACATTTTTCATGCTTTGAAGCAGTGGGAGCGGGTTGAATTCACGAATACATGAAGATCCATAACGCCATCATTCCAATGGAGTTTGGGGAACCTTTGTTATTTTCTTGTGTTTTTGAATTCGCTAAGCTAGGCTAGATTTCTATATAGTTAAGGGTAGATGGAACCCAATTGAATTCTTATGATTATGAATTAAATATTCTCTGTAATTTTTCTTTTTATAATTGATTGAATTTATCTGTTATTAATATTTTTTATGAGTTTACTCCTTCTAGATTGATCTAGGGGAATTGTATGACAATAGGATGTTGATATATGAACCTTGAATTGATAAATTCATCATAATCCTTGTGATATAGGGATAAACGTAGGGAAATTATGCAATAGTATGATTCTTAATCTTAATACATGTTTTCTTGAGGAATAATCGAGGAACTAGGGTTCTTTCAAGATTATGTAGAATTGGGGTATCAAGGGATTGAGCCTTAATTAATTTAGAGGAATCGATTGACATTATATTAAGGGCAATTACTTGACTATTAAATTCATAACATAAGGAGGAAATTGGGGAAAATCGAAACTCTAACTACGCTTTCTTGATTGTCAAAACCATTTTTACTTAATTGCTTGCTTTTTAATTCTGAAATTTTATGTTATTGCTTAGTTTTAAGTTTTAATTCAAAGTTTCTCATAATTGTTTGTCCAAATAAAGAGTGAATAGTAAACTAGTGCTTGAATTCTAATCCTAGTGGGGACGATCTCGTACTGACGTACACTTTATTACTTTTACGACCGGTGCACTTGCCAAAGTCGCAACAAATTTTTGACGTCGTTGCCAGGGAATAGAATTTTCAACATTAGTAGTAGCTATAAGCAATTTAGATTAGATTTTTTAATTTTTTGCAATTTATTTTTAATTTTACTTAATTTTTTTATTTTCTGGTTTATGCGAGTTATTATTAATCCATTATCCTTGCATTTCGACCCAGAGATGGAGAAGGCAGCTAGAAGAGACAGAAAAATCACAAAAGAGAGAAAAGAAAAAGAAGCTTCAAGCTTTACAGAACTAAAGGAGGAAACCATGGCTTATAATAACCAAATTCAGAATCCTCCTAAGACATTGGGAGATTACATGACTCTAGCTTGAGTTCCGCAGACGGCAAGCATTGTTAGGCCAAACATGGATGCTAACAACTTTGAGATCAAGCCCTCACTACTGTCATTAATTTAAAATGAACAATTTGGTTGAGGAGGCGCCGAGGACCCACATCTTTATCTTAAGAATTTTCTGCTCTTGGGGGATACATTGAAGATGAATGGAGTCTCGCGAGATGCTATTATACTAAGGCTTTTTTCCGTTTTACTGAAGGAATATGCAAGAAGTTGGCTACAGACGCATCCTCAAGGGAGTATTACTACTTGGGATGATCTGTTAACAAAATTTCTAGCTCGCTTCCTCTCATCATCGAAGTTGGCTAAGCTTAAATTTGTTATAGCTTGCTTTACTTAGAAGGATAATGAGTCACTTTATGAAGCATGTGAGAGGTTTAAAGGACTGCTAAGGAAGTGTCCACAACATGGGTTAGCGGCTTAGGGGCGAGCTCAAATATTCTTTTCTGGGATGACTTTAGCTTCCAAATGTTTGGTTAATGCTGCAGCTGGAGGATCATTGAAAACCAAGACTCCAGATGATGCGCCAGAGTTGCTTGAGTCCTTAGCTTCTCAAGAGTTTGACAACGCTCCATTATCACAAAGGAGAGCTGGAAAAGGCTATGATGCGTTGTTGGCTCAAAATGAACAGATATTGCAAATGAATAAGAAGCAACAACAACAATTAGATGCTCTCACCAAACAATTTTCTTCTCAACAAGTCTCTTCCATTAGCACTCCTTCGGTGATTTATGAAGTTTGTGCGGGTGAACATGTTACTAGAGAGTGCGATGTAATAAGAGCACCAAAGTCTAATGAAGTAAATGGAACTTGGTATGATCATAAGAATCAGAGAAACCCTCATAGGAATCAATATGGTGACACCTTCAATCCAAGGTGGAAGAACAATTCGGGGTTCAATTACAAGTCATCACAGCAGCTGAATCCATCTCTTCCGGTGCAACCACCTCCTACACAGCAGAGTGATAACTCTGAGTTTGAAAAAGCTCTTGCATAACTCTAAAAATCCACATCTGATTACATTCAAAGCACAAATACCTTCAAAGAAGATACATTTGCCTTCACGCAAGAGACTCAGACTGCATTCTGGAATCAAGAAGCTTCCATAAGGAATCTTGAGACTCTGATAGGGCAGCTATCAAGGCAGATTTCTTAAAGAGCTCAAGATACTTTTCCAGTAGATACTGTCACAAATCCTAGAGAACACTACAAAGCTATCACTACTGGGAATGGTAAAATTATTCAACCAATAGAGAAATCTTCTCAAGAGAAGAAGAGTGATGCAAAATCTATAGTTGAACATAATCAGCTAAGCTCCGGCCTCCTGCCGCCCGAGGCATCAGTACCCATACTACCTGATCCTGAAATAAGCATTCCCCAAACGTGGGGTAAAATCTCTAATCTAGAAATCTCAGTAAGTCAGTGAGTCCTCAAGGATCTTCCACCCCAAGCTCACTTACATGTGCAATATAAGTTCAAAAGCAATTTATCATTTATCATTTCTAAAACGATGCAATGCAGCAGATAATCATGCCATTACATGTAAAGTTCAATCAACATATCAAATATTCAAAAGCATGTACACAGCATGCATAAACTATACCCCCATGGGACATGGTGGAACCACAACATGGCTAAACCGAGGACACGAAAGCTTACCTTGCAAGCTAACTCCAAAAGCCAAGAGTCCACAGCTCAAAGTCCAAACACAGCAGATTCACAATCTGTTATGGACCAACAATACATCAACAACATGCACCACAAGCATACAATATTAAGACAACGCCTTTTCATTACGTTTTCAAGTCTTAAAGCTTCTAACAAGGCCACAAGCCCTTAATCCCATGATTCTGGCTTAATCCATAAAATACAGAAGTTCAACTTCATCAAACTAGGGTCCACAAACCCCCAATAGCCTACTGTACGCACAGCACAGCTGCTGTTCTGCGAAATCTCAGAATATCCGGATATCTCACTGTCCATATCCGGATATGCAATATCCGGATATACAGATTCACATATCTGGATATCCAATATCCGGATATCCCAAAACCACGTATTTGGGTATCCAATATCCGGATATCAGTTCGACAAATATTCGGATATCTCACGACAGAATGCAGTTTCTGCATTTTCGTGAAGATATCCCAAAAAGGTTCCCTTTTTACCGATTTTAAACATCTAATCATGCATTTCTAGATGTGTTAAGCCTCACCAACAACAAGTTATCATCTTTTAACCTTAACATGTATCAAGCTTTCATTTTTAAGCATTAAACTCATGATTAAAGGTTGGTATACATACCAAGGCCAAAATAGAAGAAGAGGTTACTCTTTGGAGCTCACAATCAGCCCCTCAAGACTGACTCAACAAGGTGCACGAAAATGGATCAACAAGCTTGGACCTTTCAACACAAAGGAAGCTTCTTGGACCACACACAACCAACCCAAGACAGCCTCAAAACCTCACACACAGCAGCTCTCTTAACTCAGAAAAGACCAGCAATAGAGTCCCAAGGCTAGCTCTTACCCTCACCAAGTGTATCCCAAGTGAAAGTGTGAAGAAAAATCAAGAAAGGAAGTGTCTTGGACCCAAAATGGAGAAGAAACCCCACAAGTCAGCCAAGCTGATCAGCCACCCTCAACTCTCACGTTCAAAATCTGTTTTCTAGGGCATTGTGCCCTTAGAAAAGGTATTTATAGCCCAAGTCACTTAAACACACAATGTTAACTTTAATTGCTACGTTTAGCATTTTAATCCCAAACTTTGGATTATGAAACTACATAATTTTCTAAGATTTATCATATTTTTCTTATAATTTTCTGAGCACTTTTTCGGTACGCGCTTTTCCAAGCCAGTACCGGTTTCCAGCACCAGTTCTCATTATCTGGACTTGAAACTCGTTTTACAAGTCCTACATATTATTCTAGTAATTATCATGCACTTACATTAATTTTCTGGGATACTTTTTCGGCACGCATTTATACCGACTAGCAGAACCAGTATCTGCACTTTTCTTCCGAAAAACGACTTTCAGCATTCTAATCACTTATTACGATTATGAAGCCTCATAAATAATTATTAGGGTCAATTATGGAATCATTTCCTATTTTCTCGTAATTTATTAATTAAATTCCTTAATTAACGGTGCGGGTTCTTATATTCACCCCACTTTTTTAGGATTTTGACCTCAAAATCAGAAACATACCTGGTCGAAACTCGGGGTACTGCCGGAGAAGCTCGTCTTCACGCTCCCAAGTACACCTCTCAGGAGTCTTTCCGGTCCACTGCACCTTGACCATCAGAATGATCTTGCTCCTCAGTTGCTTCTCGCCACGATCGAGAATCTTTAGTGGTCCTACTGTTGGGTAGTAATTTTTCGAAAGAAAGAGTTATCGTTCTCAGGGAACGGTTTGTTTAGTTTTCCTTTTTTAATTCCTATTTCTAATTTCTTGAAATTAAGTGATCAATCTTTTAAAACTAAGAAAAGACTAAATCAAACAAGGTATTTATCAGATTTGTATTAAACAAAATTTTACAGAGGGATATCGATTCACAAATGTAACAATTATAAGGTTCTGGAATTCTTTGAATCATGGATGAAGGAAAAATTTCGCATTCCTGCGTTTTATAACTGCTACGGCACTTTAGTATCAGAATTCGAATTACTATGGCTATTTTATCTGAAACTTCCCAGTTCCAGATTTTAATCTTTAGAAGGATCTTTTCCCAAAGTCTTCTAAATCTTTAAAAATTGTATCAAAGACCTCCTTGGGTTATCCCTAACCTCAAGGGTTCAATTAACAAGGGTCATAACCTGATTTCCCAATCACAATTATGCAAAATATATTCAAGATCCATTCCCATGGTGTTCTTGAACTTAAAATCAAAATCTTGCTAATCAAATGAAACTAAAGCAAACCATCACAGTATTCAGAAAAATAAAAGATCACCCAATCATCGTGAATCCCAGAAAAAGAAACTTAGAAATTCATATTAACAAATGAAAAGCTTAGAAAAGGAAAATGAAGAACCAAAGCTTGCATGTAGCTGAGTCTTGGATCCCTCCAAGAAAGAAGTTTCACGCTTGCTCTTGATTTGAGAATTTGAAGAACAAAGACTCGAACTTAACAAAAAGTAAAGAGCAGAAAAGAAATTCTGGAATTGAGAACTAAAACTTTACAGGAGAGTGCTTAGTCTATATCTCTGTATCTAAGACTCCTATTTAAAACTAAAAATAACCATTGATCCAAAGTTTCATTGTTGTTCATCCATGCCTGTCCTCATCCAACGGTCCATCTCTCTTTTTTTTTTCACTTCCAAAAAGTAACTCATATGGCTCTCTAACTGCAGTAAAAATAGTAAAAGAGGATAGTAAATCATCAAATTATCTCTTTCTCTCTCTTTTACCTTATTGGGCTGATTGGTACTCATTTGGCCCATTACTTTGCACTTATAACTAGTCTTTAGCTCAAATATTGTAAAAACAAAGCCATTAAAATAATCATAATTTATAGCTAACAAAATACCCCAAACTTAGAGTTTTGCTTGTCCTCAAGCAATCAAGAAAATATTAATTCAGTAAGCACATTGTTTGCTATTGTCTCTTTTAGCATTCAGATCATCATTCAAGCAATGTAATGGCTTTACAGTTCAATCCTCCATTTATCACATTACATGTCATCCATTAACATCAATCAATTATATTGTCTTTTAATATCAATACCAAACAGCAGTCTAGTCCAAACTAAGTTTTAAATTAAACAAACAGCACACTATGTCACAATGCATATCAAACAGTCACTATACATATTCCATATCAGTTCAATGTCATACACTGAGTTTCTCACAAGGCATTTTCTACTCATCTCTCTTATTTTTCATTAAGGATAATCACTCATTATCAACTCTACATTGTTGTGCCTAACATACAATATTGCCTAGACACTTGATGTCTAATGTGGAATTTCCATCAAAGGGGCTTTTAGGCTTATAATGGGGCTGGGTTTGGATATTTGTTTTTCTAGACACTTTAATTTAGGCTAACCTTAAGTGTCTAATTAATCCACAACTAGCTTGCAAAATATGGTCCTAGTAAATTAAAGGGAAGTTTCTTGCTTCTTTTTTTTAACTTCCTTCCTTACTTTTTTTTTATTTTCAGCCTCAACTTTTCACATTCATTCTCACCTTCCTTTTTTTTATATACAGGGAATTTTCTATTTTTCTTTCTCCCTTTTTATATCCCTTTTTTTTTTCTTCTAATCTCTTCTTGATCACCTTCTATATTTTTCTTCTTTTTATAACCACTCTCTTCAAGCTAGCTTCCCTTTTCCTTACTTATTTTCTTGTATTGCAGCCTAGTGAGAATTAACCAAAGACTAAGGCTTGCCTATAAGGATGGATTGGGGGAATTG